TCCTTCGCAATTTTGATTGGGGCCCAGACTGGCCTTTAAGTGAGGTAATTGATATTGACCGCTGGCTACCTTAGCAACACAAATACGTGTTTGGCCACAGCCTTGTGAAATTGATTGCACTGCTTTGTTAGCGAAATTTACAATGCAGTTAAGCACAAATAATTTGAAACCCGTTTGGAATATCATCGCCTATTGTTCCTTCCCCCGTTTTTTTCCTTGTAGGAACCTTCAGCACTTCTCCCCCTCAGAAGGTAAAAGATAAGAAATGAACGATGTAGGTCATAATAGAAGCGTTACCGGAACATGCTTCTTCAAAACTGACAGCTTCTTGCAAAATAAGCAGCCTTCCCGTTGTATCCAGCATGGAAGAATGCCATGAGATGACTTGCAGACAAATTGCAAGATATCAGAAAGAAAGTCTTTGACCCTAGAACTTGCATGTTGCATTTAATACCGGCACTTTTACCCTTTTTAACCGATTGGTCTTTGCATACGTTTATGGCAATCTTCTGCTTTCTTATCTGTCTGCTATAAATTGCTTAAGGCTGACTTCGGCTCCGATATCTGCCGCCCCCTTTCGGTGGCAGAATGCTAATTTCGCGTTGTCGTTCAACTAGCTTACGCGATTGTGGTCCGGTCGTCAACCGCCATCTATCTTTGACCCTAGAACTTGCATGTTGCATTTAATACCGGCACTTTTACCCTTTTTAACCGATTGGTCTTTGCATACGTTTATGGCAATCTTCTGCTTTCTTATCTGTCTGCTATAAATTGCTTAAGGCTGACTTCGGCTCCGATATCTGCCGCCCCCTTTCGGTGGCAGAATGCTAATTTCGCGTTGTCGTTCAACTAGCTTACGCGATTGTGGTCCGGTCGTCAACCGCCATCTATCTTTACCCTTGTGGGTAAAGTTTGGCGGAAGGTGCGAAGGGTGCTGGAGATGTGCCTATATACAGACAAAAATCTTTGACCCCTGAAACAAACTTACTGAGATTTACTGATATTTAATCGAGAGTTAAGGCCTATATTTATCATGTAGTGAGTTAAAAGCAAATTATATTATTTAACATGTGATCGAACCAACCCCTCTCCCGTTTGATTAAAATTGCACTTGAATTGGACTAGAATTAATACTCATGGTTTGTAGGGGAGCGGAAGGGGGCAGGACATGTGACGTATGGGACGCTCTTCATATTTTACTGGCCAACATCTGACACCAGGTGGGGCTATTCATGGCAGTATATTACATAATATAAGGGGAATACCTGCTTTAAATGTTGACTTTAAAAAAGGATCACCGTGTGTGACGTATCCGCCCCCCCCCCAGTTCTCCACGCTCCTGGATTAAAGTTAATTTTTGAATTAATGGTTTCCATCTTTCATTAATATTCCAACTCCGTTCATGATGCTAAATCCCATCATAAACACCCGACAGGTCACCTGACTACGCCATTTCCCATTTCCACATAACAGGTCGTCATGGTTTCATTGAATTGCTATAACGTTACAATAATCCTATTAAACAAAGAAAGTGCAAAAAGTGTGAAACTTTTGCCATGTAACTCTAACATAAAATATTATTTTATTCAAAAACATTGCAACAAGTGAATCAATGGTTAGGCTACGCAAACGTCTAACAGTGTAATCGTGCTGAAATGTCATGATTCTAAATAGTATTGATATTGTCCGAATTTTTCGAATATGTTGAGACAACGATTGCTTCAAAAGTAAATCTTTAAATCTTTAACTAAGGGGGCAGTAACAAATTTAACAATATAGAGATGATTGAAATGTGTAGCGGCAATGCCTTAGATAACAGTCGGGTAATAGATGTAAGGTTAATGTTCTTTTTATAAATATAAACCGTGACATTTTTCTTTTAAAATTAGTACGTGAATTTAAAGTACTGGCTGATGCGACCAAAAATACACTGAATGTTTCCCTTTACTTTAAAACACAATCTAGAAGATGGAAACAAGTAAAGTACATGGTGTGGGGTCTTAAAAGAATGCAATGTTTAAAATTGGAGTTCAAAATTGACGATAAAAGCGAATTATGGGCCTAACACTGATTAGTTTAAAACAGAAACACACGAAATCGAATCAAAGGAATTCATAACATTCTTGATTTGTGAATACATTGATGATAAGTCAGGCACTTTGAGCATGCACTAAAACATGAGCGTGCAAATGTATATTTTAAAGTCTAAGTCTGTTTCAATTTAAATCGCGAAATATTGATGACTGTAAACATATTTCGTGGTACATGAAGATGAAAATAAGTATTGAAACTGATTGTATCTTTCTTTTAGCGGCAGTGCTTATACATAGAACTTCCGCTTTAAGAAAGATACAATTAATTTCAATACTTATTTTCAACTACATGTACCACGAAATATGTTACCTATTATCAATAATTCGCGATTTCAATTGAAACAGACTAGAAAGTAAAAAAAAAGGGTATTCAGACAGTTTCACATACATTTGTAATTAAATGTTCAATAAATATCCGACCTGTTGGCTCATTTCTAAGTTTTAAGTAATGTTCATTATAGTTCTCCCACGTGTTAAAATACACTTCATGTAACACAACATCGATCTGACAACTGAGTACTCGTTTATATATTTTGTTGTTAAGACTAAATCTTCCATTTTAGATTTTAACACATACAACCAATATATGCTCTTGAGTTATTTCATGCAAATTTACAAGCAGACGCGGAAATACAAGTACAATTCATTCTCAGTCACATCTGCAAAAGTAACTGATGTACATTTACAAAACTAAGAACATTAAAAGTGAAGTGATGGTTTGAATGTTGCGATTACGCAGTTTCGACATCTTCAGAATTGGTATCGATATTTGGCATTGAATGACACAGACACTTAGAATTTAAAAATTCTAACTGACTGACTTAAATTATGCAAATATAGTTTCCTATATAATTAAATTCAAATCTCATCTCGTTTGTAATTTAAACGATTCAATCTTGCTTACTTGAACAAAATCTCGGTTGCCCCTTTTAATTCTTATTTTCCGGAAAAGCGAATTAATTCAATCGTCTCAAACTTTCCGAATACAAGTCGTGTATTAGTACGTAAAAGTAAGTGTTAAGATCAAGTTTGTGGACTTGCATTTCCAAAACAGTTCCAATATTTACGACTAGCCGTAGCTCTACTAGGAGTAGAGCATAAAAAAAGAGTGTTTTGAAATGTGTACCCTTGATTCAGCTGATTCTCTTATGTAAATGTTTTAATGTACTTTGAGAGAAGGAGCGACAACCGGTATGACGCAGGTCGAACCTAGGACGGCCACACCTTCTGTGATAAACACAAGGATGTTGTGGTGTAGGAGGCAGGTCGATTTAAAACTACTGCCGTGGGTGTCGGTAGAGAGGCATTAGTGACGGAGTTGGATTAGGCCGTGAGTGCAGGCAGCTTGACGAACACAACAAGCCAAGAGTGAGCGATAACAGAAAACGTCATCCATTCTGTTATTATAACTTGACTTTATAGCCACACAATCTTGATTGTTTTGGAAATCATTGGGTTGCCCATCGTCCCATATCAAGAAGGGCTCGCTTCCTTCCTGACCATCACACTCCCAAGTTCCTTCAACTTCTTTGTCATTGCAAGCAATATATACAGAGTAATCACTGTCCACCTGTCGTGCCAATGTTGACATGAAGTTCATTTCCTCCAGCGAGCGAGGAGCGGCCATCCTGCCTCCCATGTCTTGGCAAGCTGTCTTGGCGCCATCCCAAGTGTGCGTTGAAGAACTGAGGCGATAACACTTGTTCTCCCACAATTGCCACTCTGGCAGGCAAGAGCATTGGACAATGAGTCGTGAATGGCATTGGACAAAGAGCTTAGATGGGCAAAACCCTGAGTTAAATGCAGCCTTGATAGGTAAAATGACAGCAACGATGAAAGTAAATTCGGACCAAAACGCCATGATGAACGGAGAACTGAAGAGTTTGCGAAGAACCATTGAAGATTGCTGTATCCCTGAAAACCTCTATATAGGTAATGCGTAGGGTCTACCAAAGGCTCAGAATTACGACTCTGAGCTGCGGCAAAGTAATAAGAGCGATATGCTTTGTGTTGTAAACAGCTTCATACAGTAGGTTACCATAGTAACAGTTCTCTATCGTGGTTTAGTGGAGCCCAGAGAACTCAATAATTCAACTCGGAACGCCATTAACATTAATTTTGCAAAATTAGAATGTTCAAGGGTAATTAAGTTGGCAGGTGAACGACGCGCTCTACGACACCTGGAATTTAATTTTACTGGAGACTGTTATGAATTTGCAGGGAAATACGTCTCTCTCGTGCACACAATTATCTTTAAAAAAAATGTTTCCCAACTGGCAGTGTTAGCGGAGTTTTACACCATCCCTATTGGATAAACAAACTAAACAAACTGTTAAAAAAATCATGATAAATTAACAGTGTATTAATTATCAGTGACTCTTTCTGTTTTGTTTATAGACAGTTTTCCATAAACACTAGTTTTTGTCCAACACGATTGGGTTGTGGTTTCATTTTGAGAAATCTGCGAAAACAAACTCATACTACTCCGGCATTTAATTGCGAATGTACAATGCACTTCCGATCAAAAACGATAGATAACACTATGCTGAGCTTCAATGCCACACCGATCGGACAACTATTAGTTTTCTACAACTGAATCAATTCTTACATTTTTTTTACACACACACAACCTATATAGACCGTATTCGTTGAAGTAACGTCTGAGAGTGTTGTTAAATATATGAATCGTGGAGGCACAGAATGTCCACTCATGTCCTCCCGATGATCTTGACAATGCAAAACCATTGCCTTCTATTTCCACCTTAAGGTCTATACAAACTCTTCAGTTATTTCATTCGAATTTGCAAGCTGACGCAGGCGGAGTCAACCCGGTGATAAACTGCCAGATGTTAAGTTCAAGGGGGCAGGTTGGGTGAGACTGCGGCCGTGGGTGTCGGTAGAGAGGCATTAGTCACGGAGTTGGGTCAGGCCGTGAGTGCAGGCCGCTCGACGAACACACATAGCCAAGTAATAGAGACGACAGTAATCGTCATCCATTCTGTTATTATGGTCAGAAGATATTGCCACACAATCTTGATCGTTTGCGTAATTATCGGGTTGATCTGTATTCCATACCAAGAAGGGCTCGTTTTCTTCCTGACCGTCACACTCCCAAGTTCCTTCAACTTCTTTGTCATTACAAGCAATCCAGGCGTAGAAGTTGCTCTCCACGTTTCGCGCCAACTCCACCATGAAATTCATTTCCTCGAACGAGCAAGGGGCGGCCATCTTGCCTCCCATGTCTTGGCAAGCAGACTTGGCGTCATCCCAAGTATGCGGTGAAGGGGTGAGGCGATAACACACGTTCCCCCACAATTGCCACTCAGGCGGGCAAGAGCATTCAACAATGAGCCGAGAGTGGCATTTGACAGAGAGCCGAGATGGGCAGAACCCTGATCCAAATACAGCCTTGATAGATGAAATGATAGCAACGACGACGATAAATTTGGACCAAAACGCCATGATGAACTGAGAACTGAAGAAGTTGCTCAGAACTATTGAAGGTTTTTGTGTCTCTGAAAGCAGGACTATTAAAGGCTATGCATAAGGTCAACCAAACGCTCGAAATGACGACTCTGAGCAGCGGCAAAGTAATAAGAGCGATGCTTCGACTGTGGTAAACAACTTCATACACAAGGTTACCATAGTAACAGTGCTCTATTGTCATATAGTAAGAGCTCAGAGAACTCAATATTCATCTCGGATCACCATTCAGCATTATTATTGCACAACAAATGTACTTCCGCTGAAAATAATGAGGCTCAAGGGTAATTAAGTTGGCAGGTGAACGAAGCACTCTATCTACGGCACCTGAAATTTAATTTCACTGCAGACTGTGATGAATTGGCAGGGAAATGCGTCTCTCTCGTGCACAAAATTACCTTCCAAAAAATGTTTCCCTAGTAGCAGTGTTAGCGGAGTTTTACACCATCCTTTTAGGATGTACAAAATGATAAAATAATTACATGATTAATTAACAGTGTATGATCAGTGACTCTTTCTCTTACATTTCAATTTACATTGTGAAGTTATCCATAAACACTCTAGCCTTGGTCAAGGCGCTAGTTGTTATTCATCCCGGCCGTAGCGCAGTAAACGATATCCTCGCTAGCGCTATGCATGCGGTGCATCAAAAATACAGTGCGAACAGCGACCTCACGCGGCCACCATTTCTATGCAAATTAGTTGGACCCAATCAACCAATCACCAGCGCCTTGGTTCAATCGTCGACAAAAGCTTATATTTTTCTTTATTTTGCGCTGGATTTCTAGCGCTCGACCTCGTATGCGAATACAGATAAGTGTAGGCGGGGCTAATATGTGGAGTGTCCAATCACACCTTGGTAAATCCGGACGTCATCAAATTATTTGCAGCTATTCGCCTTTTGCGGACGTGACAGGAACCACAGTTTTTGTGCATTGGCGCCGTGTGCAGAGACACACAACGTGTACGTGTATGGATTGTGTACGGTGCCACGTTTCACTATGCAAGTTTCCACGCAACGATCGACCAATAAGAAAACGACATTTAAGGTCAGCTAAGGCTATTAACATAATGAGCACCACCCCCAAAACCTCAAATGGACGATTGAACCAAGGCGCTAGATTGGGTCCAACTGATTTGCATAAAAATAGTGGCCGCGTGCGGTCGCTGTTCGCGCTGTATTTTTAATGCACTGCATGCATAGACATAATTATAACTGAATGCATAGCGCTAGCGAAGATATCGTTTACCGCGCTACGGCTGGATGAATAACAACTAGCGCCTTGACCAAGTCTATAAACACTCTTGTCCAACACGATTGGACTGTTGTGATGTCATTTTGGGATATCTGAGAATACAAACCCGTTCTTTATTATATGAATAGTGAATGCACTGACGGTTAACTCATGTCCACCTGGATGATCTGTGCGATACAAAACCTTTGCCATCTAACTGTGCCTTAACGCATTGGGTCTATACAAACTCTTGAGTTATTTCATGCGAATTTACAAGCAGATGCAAGCCGATCGACACGGCCGACCACGCCCTCGGTGATAAACTCCCAGATGTTGAGGTCGAGGAGGCAGGTTGGGTTCATGATGCTGCGGCCGTGGGTGTCGGTAGAGAGGCATTTATGACGGAGTTGGATTAGGCTGTGAGTGCAGGCAGCTTGACGAACACAAAACGCCCTGTCTGACAAATCACATTCAAAAATGTTCAAAATCATCCATTCCACCCTGGCCTATTTGAGCGCAATCTTGTCGTTTTCTCGATTTAAAAGGAGCGACGTCCGGGATCCTCGTCGCAGGCTGAGCCATAGGCGACCACGCTCTCGGTGATAAACTCCCGGATAATATGGTTGAGGAGGCAGGTTGAGTGAGACTTTGGCCGTGGGTGTCGGTAAAAAGGCATTAGTGACGGTATTGAATTAGGCTGTGAGTGCAGGCAGCTCGACGAACACAGAAAGCGATGTAAGAGGGGTAGCAAGAATCGTCATCCATTCTGTCATTAAATTTTGACGTTATTACCACGCAATCTTGATTGTTTTTGAAATTATCGGGTTGGTCCTCATCCCATACCAAGAAGGGCTCGCTTCCTTCCTGACCGTCGCACTCCCATATCCCTTCAACTTCTTTGTCATTGCAAGCAATCCAGGCGAAGTAGTTGTTGTCCACCTTTCGTGCCAATTCCACCATGAAGGTCATTTCCTCGAGCGAGCGAGGAGCGGCCATCTTGCCTCCCATGTCTTGGCAAGCTGTCTTGGCGTCTTCCCAAGTATGCTTTGAAGGAGTGAGGCGATAACACTCGTTTCCCCACAATTTCCATTCTGGCGGGCAAAAACATTGGACAGTGAGTCGAGAGTGGCAGGAACCTGACCTAAATTGAGCATTGATCGCTGAAGTGATTGCTACAGTGATACATACTTTGAACAAATACATGATGATTCGTTGGTCGTTTGTAGCAGATCAGCTGTAGAGAGGATCAGATGTGTTCTCTGTACATGTACACCCTTGTAGTGTCTCATCATTGAATCGAACACAATAAAAATTGGATGTTTCGGTAGGCTCTATTTATACGCGAGTTTTCTCTGACGCAGAATATTGCTATCATAAGATGGGAGACAAATGACTTGTTGCTATGGTCACATTATTTCAGCGTCCTTCGAAAATAACAACGGTATCGGGCATAATGAAGATTTTAAAGGTAGAGTCCATCATTTGCAGCCATCCGAAAAGTAACTGGCGTAATTATTGTTGAAAAACTAACTTGGTTGAAAGATAGTAAGGAGACTGAACTCCCTGTGAAATTATTCTTTCTGGGAAGCTGTCATTTTGAAGTAATCAACGAAAGAAGGCAGTTCCAACGGTGATTCTTAAGAAGCACTGTAGGAAAATTTAAATTAGTAGTTCGTTTTGTTATTCAGCGCAGCGCGCACAAGTATTCGAACGACGCACACGCGCGCGCGGTTGTTATAATTCGTCGGATCAGTGCGCGACGTCGCGTATAGTTGCAATTCAAAACATGATTCAGCAACTTTTGATTTGAAATTGAGATCTTAGAATGCTGTTTTTCTCGGAATGTACAGCTGAAGCTTAGCTGAAACTTCATCAGGTTAGTTGCTCAGTATCCTTCATTAGATTTTGAACTCTTTTGTTGCTTCAAACGAACAAAATGCACAAATTACAAATGATGGACTACACCTTTAATAAAGGCGCGTACTCGTTATTAAACGAAGTACGGTAACTGATATTGACTTCTGGCCGACTGAGCAACCGTCATACGTGGTTGGCCACGACCCTGTGAGATTAACTTAATTGCTTTGTTGGCGGCACTACCAGTGTTGTAGTCGAGACCGGATAGTCCGAGACTGAGACCAAGACCGAGACCTGAAGTTGCGAGACCGAGACCGAGACCGAGACCAGCCCCTTCAAGGCGGACCGAGACCGAGACCGAAATGGTCCGAGACCGAGACCGAGACCGAGACCGCGGATAATAAATAACAACTAGAAATGTGATTGTGGACAAACACAAGCTGTTTCGGATATTTTAAATACTCTGTGCACGTGATGAATACTTGATGAAGTCACTTCGAATGTCATCTGCCAAGTGAAAAGTCAATCAGACATATAGTGCCAAAGTTTGATTTGAAGAAAAACGAGTACATAAAACCTATGGGGAAAAATGCGTCTTTAATGTGAAGTAACCTTACACATGATGATGTCACGATCACGAATTTCTTCTAGGACCATCTGTGGGTGGTGGTCTAAGTCTGTATCAAGTCTGAAATCAATCGGATTTGAAAAAGTGGCAAAGTGGACTGGTGGAAGAAACGTGTGTTAAACCTATGGAGAAAAAGTCTGAAAAAGGAGAAGAAAAAAAAGAAGAAACTAGAAATGTGTTTGTGGACAAACACAAGCTGTTTCGGATATTTAAAATACTCTGTGCACATGATGAACACTTGATGAAGTCACTTCGAATGTCATCTGCCAAGTGAAAAATCAATCAGACATATAGTGCCAAAGTATGATTTGAAGAAAAAAGTGTACAAAACCTACGGGGAAAAATGCATCTTTAATGTGAAGTAACCTTACACCTGATGATGTCACAATCACGAATTTCTTCTAGGACCATCTGTGGGTGGTAGTCTAAGTGTGTACCAAGTCTAACGTGGATCGGATTTACAAAAGTGCCAAAGTAGAATGTTTTAAAACGTGTACAAACCCTATGGGGAAAAATGCATCTTTAATGTGACGTAACCCAACACCTGATGACGTCACGATCACACATTTCTTCTAGGACCATCTTTGGGTGGTGGTCTAAGTATGTATTAAGTCTGAGGTCGATCGCATTTATGAAGGTGCCAAGGTGGAGTGTTTTAAAACGTGAACAAAACATATGGGGAAAATGTGCATCTTTAATGTGAAGTAACGTGACACCTGATGACGTCACGATCACGAATTTCTTCAAGGACCATTTGTGGGTAATGGTCTAAGTGTGTACCAAGTGTAACGTCGATCGAATTTACAATAGTGCCGAAATGAAGCGTTTTAACACATGTACAAACCCTATGGGGAAAAATGCATCTTTAATGTGACGTAACCTGACACTTGATGACGTCACGATCACGAATTTCGTCTAGAACCATCTGTGGGTGGTTTTCTAAGTATGAATCAAGTTTAAAGTCGATCGGATTTACGAAGATGCCAAACTGGAGTGTTTTAAAACGTGTACAAAACATATGGGGAAAAATGCATCTTTAATGTGACGTAACCCGACACCTGATGACGTCACCGTCACAAATTTCTTCTAGGACCATCTGTGGGTGGTGGTCTAAGTATGTATCAAGTCTCGAATCAATCGGATTTGAAAAGTGGCAAAGTGGACTGGTGGAAGAAACGTGTGTTAAACCTATGGAGAAAAAGTCTGAAAAAGGAGGGAAAAAAAAAAAAAAAAAAAAAAAAAAAAAAAAAATCTTAACG